CAAATGCGAGGACCCACCCCCCCTAACCTGCCCATGCTCGCAAATGCGAGATTTGCAACAGAAACCAGAAGCAAAAGGCATCAACTATGATTCTAAGTCATAATTCACTTTGTAGCCTATCCGAAACTCACCCGAGCCCTTAGGGCTCCAAACCAAATATGCACACAAGTCCAAAAATATCATAAGAACTCGCTCGTGCGATAGAAATACCAAAATAATATCTAGAAATATGAATTGGACACCAAAATGAATGAAATTTTCAATGAAACTTAAGAGTTTTCATTTTAACAATCAGACGTTCGAATCACGTCAAATCAACTCCGTTTTGCACCAAAGTTTGCTGACAAGTCATAAATACAGTAATGAACCTATACCAAGCTCTGAAACCAAAATTCGGACCCGTTAGCAATAAAGTCAAACTTCAGTCAAATTCATAAGTTCTCTAAACCTTTAAACTTTAATTTTTTAGCAAATTGCGATAACTCGAGTTAGGAACCTCTGAATTCGATTCTGGGCATACGCCCAAGTCTCAAATCACGATACGGACCCAATGAGACAATCAAAATATGGATCTGGGTCCGTTTGCTCAAAACGTTGACCGAAGTCAACTCAAATAAATTTTTAAGGCACGAATTCACATTTTAATTAGTTTTTCACATAAAAGCCTTTCATGAAAATACACAGACTATGCACGGGAATCGAAGAAAGTTAAAAAGAGCTATTTAAGGTTTCGAAATACATAATTTAGCGGTTAAAGCTCTAGATGACTATCGGGTCATCACAAAAGACGGCTAGAATAGACATCTATCCAACTGTTCTATTATATGTAGTATAAAATAAATTAGGCAAAGACAAAAAATCTAAATCACAAGACTGAAAAGATATTAATTAAAATTGGATTCATGAACCGAGTATACTAGGATTAAGTATCTAATAAGAAAAAAAAAAGTTATCCAATACCTTGTGGCTCGCTACTCAAGATTCTATAACTGCTTTAGTTTTAAAATGAGCAGTAGAATAGTTTCAATAGGTTCCCAAGTTGGGCTTTGGGTGTCAGTTACCTGTTGGCCTGTAGCTGTTTCCATTACCCAGGCCAAAGGAAAAAACTTTTTATGCTTTATTATTTTGAAATTTGATATATGAAGTATATTTTATACATATAAATTTATTGGGTAGAGTTCGGTATTTTTGCGATTTACTTTTATAAAACTAAAAACTTACACTAATTATTCAATTAGTTATATATATAGATTTATATGGAAATATACAATTTTATTAAAGAAAACCTAATAATTGATTCGATATGACTCGATCAATTTAATTAATTCTTAAAGAACTATTAACACTCCTAGTTGTAAGAATAGACATAAATTTTGGAACATATATTTGCCACATGACTATAGGCTATAAATATCACGATCCGGAATTTCCACCACCGGGATTGTGATAGCGCCTAACATTTCACTTGCTAGGCAAGCCAACGTTAGATGTAATTATTAACCAATTTTAACAAGTTTCAAATACGA